AATCCCACAGATTCTGAGTAGACTTTGTTATCACCCAATTACAGCCACTGCAAGGAGTCACCAGAAGATGATTAGCACAAAAATCATATAACATGTAGCCAATTAAAAGTATCTAAGTGGTGCAGTAGATAGAAAGTTAGGCTAGGAGTCAGGAAGACCAGAGTTCAAATCCCACCTCAGACACTCACTAACTGTGTTACCCTGATCTAGTCATTTAACATCTTTCTGTTTCAGTTTCCACAACTATAAAATAAGGCTATTCATAGCACCTACCTCCCTGGGTTATTTTGAAGATAAAATGAGGTAATATTTTAAAGCACTTAGTGCCTGGAACATAGTAGGCACTTAATAATTGTTTGTTTTCTTCCCTCCAATCAATAATGCATCAGGGGAAATGCAGTGGAGGGAACAACCACAGGGGTCCAGCCCATAATGCAGCTCGGCATTCCAGTGGCCCCCACAGAGATGGTTAGCCCAGGCCATATTCATAATCAAAAGCTCATGTTGAGAGGTGACCAAGCCACCCTTGCATCATGTCTCTGACTATATTTTTTTCAATACTGTTAAGCTTACAATTTTGGATTTAGTGAAATTCGAGAAGGGTGTAGTCATTGGATCTTTGATGTTGAGCTGGAAAGGACCTTCCAGGCCAGCTACTCCAACCACTCCTTTGTATAGATGGAGACATTTGAGGCCCATGGAGGCTAAAGGACTTGCTGAAGGTCATCCAGGTAGCAAGTAGCCAAGTCAGAATTTGTCTATAGCTCCTCTTCCCCCAAAGAAATCCAGCCTTACCATAGCTACTTTATTTTTTCATTGTTGGTTTAGGCTTGTGATTTCATCTGGTAGGGAAAGGTGCAGAAGCTCCCTTTGCTCATTATAAATCCATGATTTATCTGCAACCTTTCATCTCAGAGAAATGCCTGGGGCACTGAGATTAAATGACTTGCCTAAGGTCACATTCTTGAGACAGATAGAGTGCTAGGTCTGGAGTCAGGAAGACCTGAGTTCAAATCCAGCCTCAGACACTCACTAGCTGTGTGATCCTGGGCAAGTCACTAAATCTCTGTTTGCCTGTTCTACCAGAGAAGGAAATGGAAAGCTCTTCCAGTATCTTTGCTAAGAAAACCCCATACTGGGTTATGAAGAGTCTGCCATGACTGAAAAACAGAATAACAACACCAAGGTCCTCCAGCCAACATGTGTCAGAGGGATTACTTGAACCCAGATCAGAGCCTTAGAATTCATCTTAGCTCCAAATGTACCCCGAATCATCCTATCAGTGAATGGCATGGGGTCAGCCTGTTGACTACCCTTGACTGGCAGTGTATCTCCTTAGGGCAAATCATTTCTTTATTTTCCTAGTTCTTAGAACAATACCTGGCACATAGCAGCTCTTTAACAAATGTTAGCTGATTGACTGAGGAGAGTACTAAGGACACATGGTTCTTGGAGAATTCATGAGAAGAAAAATAACTGAGCTGGGACGAGAAGCTGTTATGTAAATGTGCTATCCACCATCCCCACCCACCCTTTTGCTATTGGCAAACCTTTGTTCACACCAAATGGAAAACTTGAGAAAAGATGGAAAAGAAAACAGGGTTATAAAGATGGGTATCTCATGATTGTGTGGCCATGAAATCAAATCAGGCCAGCTCTGGTGCTAGTTTCCAGGTGAACATATTTTTCCTTCTATGAGACAAAAGGAAAAAATAAAACAACAACAATAACAACAGGAAGGATTTTTTTTCTTTTGCAGATGCTTTGAATAAACAAGGAGTGGTTCCAGAGACAGTGAGCGACTACATGAGGTAGGTCACAGGATGGAGCCTTGTTCCCTCCAGGGATGTCAGAGTCACATCTTTGAAGTCAGAGATGGGTGAGGGAAGAGGATTGTTCTAGTAGCTCATTTTAATAACGGCAGTTAGGAAAAGAAATATTCTCCATTGGCTTTGCCATGGTGCTAATGAGCTTTTGTTAGCTTGGAGCAAAAAGCAAGTTCTTTATCAAGAGAAGTAGATTAATTCAACTGCTCTTGGGTAGATTGGAGAATCAATGGAACAGGCGCATAGACAAGGTAGATAGCAGCCTTTCAAATGAATGTAATGAAATCGTTAAAACAGTTATGCTGAAGCAGTTACAGTGCTCTTCTCATTAATCAGAGAGGTTGATTAGCAGCCTAAATATCAACTTTTCTTTGTGGATAGACTGTGAAATGGGCAGTGCCCAGAGACAGAGTGGTACAATGAAAAAAAAAAAAGGAAATCTCTGGATTTGGTTGGAGCCAGAAGAAGTGAATTCAAATCCTGTTTCTATCATTTACTACCTGTGTGACCTTGAGCAGGTCACTTAAACCTTCTGGGCTGCACTTTCTTCACTTGTGAAATTAGAGGGTTAGATTGGGTGGCTCCTAAGGACACTTCCAACCCTGAACCTATGAGCCGATAGACTATGAGTCCTTTGTTCTTTGGGTCCTTGTGAAGCCAGGCGGCACGATGGAGAAATAAATGGTCTTAGAATCAGGACGACCTGCCTTAGACTCTTAAGAGCTATGTGTCCCTGGGCAAATCCATTAAAACTTCCAAGCTTCCAACTCCTCATTTATAAATTTTGGCTAATAATGGCACTCACTTCATAAAGTTTTGTGAGAAGTAATCCAGTGAGATAAAGTGCTATATAAATCCTAGCTATTGTTATTATCAATAAAATGAGAATCACTTGGCAGACAAGATCTGCACACAGGAGAAATGGGCAGGACAATCCTTAGTTGTAGTATACAGGGTGGCAAGTGCAAAGGAGGCTTATTTAGTGAAATTAGTTTCCAGTAGCCAGGGATGATAAAGAGCCTTGAGTCCTTATCGCTGAGGATTGGTTGAAGAAATTAAGCATATTTATCCTGGAGAAGAGAAGATTCAGGTAGGACAAAATATCTGCCTTCAAGTATTTGAGGGAGGAATTCGATTTGCTTTATCAGTCCCAAGAAGAACCAGGAACAATAGGGGAGGGGGAGAGAGTGGGGGAAAAGTGGAGATTTAGGTTTGATATTAGGGAAACCTTCCTAAGTGTGAGAACTAGTCAAAAGTGGAATTAACTACCTAGAGAGGTGGGGGGAGGGCTCCCCTTCCTTGGAGGTCTTCAAGCAAAGGGCTAAATGACCATCTCCCAAAGGTATTAGGGCTGGGATTCCTTTTAAGTAGAGGTTGAACTAAATGTCTGCTAAGGTCCCTTTCAGCTGTCAAATTCTATGATTCTGAACAGCCTCACAACAGTCTTAAAGAGTTGCCTGGGGGGCAACTAGGTGGCTGCAGTGGACAGAGCACTGGCTCTGGGGCCAGGAGGACCCTAGTTCAAATCTGGCTTTAGACACTTAATAGGTGTTTGACCCTGGGCAAATCACTTAATCCCAATTGCCTAAAAAAAAAAACAGTTGCCTGGGATGCAGAGAGGTTAAGTTACTTGTGTAGATAAGGTTACACAGCCAGTTTATGTCAATGGTAGAATTTGAACCTGTGTTTTCTTGAGCTGAGTACAGACAGCTTTTTACTACACCATACTGCCTTCTTAAAAGGTAATTGTGACAGATATGGTTGTTGTTATTGTTATCATTTTGCAGGTAGGGACTGTGACAATAAGAGTAGCAAAGTGATTTGCCCATAGTCAGCTGATTACTCCTAATGGTGGGATTCAAACCCAGAACTGTCCACATTCTAAAACCAATGTTCTTTCTCCCACTCCACTCAATAGGATGCCTTCCACAATATCTAATCTAAGCTAGGCCCTTCCCACCTATTGCTGGTAAATACCACCAACCATTTGAATGCTAATAGTTCACTGGAGGATTCCAGAGCAACCTGAATTGTGTAGGTGAGATGCATAGTAGGTATATCTGCAATCTGAACCCATGCAGATGCCATGCAAATATGATGATAAGGAATTTGCTAGTAAAGAGTTTTGTTTCTGTACATATAGCCTTCCACAGGCCCACAGCTAGCCATCCAGAACCATACTGCCAGAGGTTTATTGATTCTGAGTGTCTGGGACTGCAAAAATTCTTTCTGAAGGAAGGACGCACCTGCCTACTTGGGTCAATGGCTCTTGCCCTTGGAAACTGAAGAGTTGACAATGGAATCCTGTTTGGGAGGTGACAAGTTGCCAGCTGTGAGCAGTGCCGAATGAGCTTACTCAGAAATGCACTTAAAGAGGGATTTCCAGCTCCTCCTCTATTCTCTGCTCTGGTCTCACCAAACCTGTTTGTTGTATTCAGTGTACGAGGGAAACTAGAGAGGAAGGAATTTAAAGGTGAATGGGAAAGGTCAGGGACCGAGGCTGAGAAGCCTGTTGGAGCTTATCAATTTCATCTGGGGAGGTCCAATGACAGAGCTCTGGGGTCTATGGAACATGTGCCTAAATCTCCCCTCCGCCTTCCTTTGCCCCTCTTGACCCCAGTCACCTATTGTTCCATCTCTTTTCTCTGTTTCACTGTAAAACTCCTTGAAAAGTGGTCTACAGATGCTGCCATTTTCTCCCTGTCTTGGCTTGGGGGCACTTGGCTTCTGTTTACAAATGAACATCTGATTTCCAAATCCAATGACCTTTGTTTAGTCTACAATCTCTTTGACATTTTTGCTACCTTGTCAGGAATCATGCCCTGGAAAACTTAACCCTTTAACTCCGTAGACTTCGAGCTGAAATGGACCTGGGAGGCTGAGTTAAACCCTCTCTTTTTGTAGACAATATCCTTCTACTGGGAGAGCCCTTCAAACACCGGAATACAGCTATCTTGCATTCCCCTTCCCCCACCCCCATCTTCTCTTCTGCAGGCTAAGCAGACCCAGTTCCTTCACCAGATCATCATATGTGCTTTTTCGGAGCCTTTCATCATACTGGTTTGCCTCCTCTGGACACTCTAGCTCATCAAGGTTCTTCCTAAAAGGTGGTACCCAGAACTATATAATCGGATCAAAGGAGAATAGATCAGAGCTATGGTTTCTCTGTCCTACACACTGCCTGTCTTCATGGAACCCCAAATCACCCTTCAGACCATAGTGATCATGCATTCCATAGATGAATTACTGTCCAGCATGTACTAATGGAGTTGATTTTTTGAACCCAAGTGAAAAACTTTTTATTTATCATGAATAAATTTCATCTCCTTTGGTTTGGCCCAATAATCTTGGTAGTGGAGACCTTTTTGGATCCTGACAATGTTAACCATCCCTCCAGGTTTTGTGTCATGTATAAAATATGATAACTACTGAAGGTATGCCTTTATCCAAATCACTAATCTAAATGTCAAACAGAACAAGGCAAGCATAGTTTCCTGGAGCACTCGACCTTCTTTCCAGGTTGTCTTTGAAACTTCAATGTCTCTTCTTTGGGTCAGGCTACTCAACCAATTGTTTTGCATCCACCTGACTGTAAGCTACTTGAGAGTAGAGACTAGTTCATTTTGTCATTGCACCCCCAGCACCTAGCATAGTGCCTGGTACAAAGAAAATGCCTAATAAGTGCCTGTTTGGTTGACTTACCATCCAGCCCCATCTTTCTGCCTCTCATATAAAAAGAGCTGGGACAGGGCAAATGTTTGGTAAAATCTTTGCATATTATGTCTCTAGCTTTGCCTGATCTAGTTACTTGTATACTTCAGTCGGTCTATGATCTCATCAACGTGGTACTCCCTGCAGTGATGGAGAAGGGACTAACCAATCCATGCCTTCTCATCCAATGGGATTTCTATACATGTCTTCTAATGCATTCCACACAGGGACCTACCTATTATGCCAAGGACCTTTCCTGGATCTCTTGACACTTTGTGAAGACCATCAGAGAATGTAAGCTATCCATTAGTGATCCCTCACATTTGAGGTAGAACAGTCAGGAAGACCTAAGTTCAAATCTCCCTTCAGACACTTACTAGCTGTATGATGCTGCATGTCACCTATTTGCCTCAGTTTCCTCACCTGAAAAAAGAGGATAATAATAGCACCTGCCTTCCAAAATTGTTGTGTGAGGATCAAATGAGGTGATATCTGTAAAGTACTTTGCAAACATTGGGCTCACCTCCTTTTCTGTTAATGCATTTTTTATAAACTTTTATGTTACTCATTTCTTATTTGATAGTACACTTCAGCCTACTCACCCCCAATGTGGATCTTTCCACTGCTACTTGGTTGACCTATAGAGATTTAATTCTTTAGGGGTAGTGTTAATCTATGCTTTCCAGTCTAACAGTATCACCAGAAAAGTGTTGGAGTGAAAAGGTGGACCTTAATTTAGGGGAAAATGTGGGGTTCTTAAAAGCACTGCGCCATTTCCCAATATAATTTAGCCTGCTCCTCTCCTCCTGATCAACCATCTTTATTATAATCTAACCACAATGCCTGTCCAAGGGTCATATTCCAATTGACCAATTCTACGGACTGTCCATAAGAGTATATATCATAACCTGGAAAATAGCCATTCTTCATTTGTTTGATTATTGCTTAGGAGATAGTTTGGCAGGAATCTTTTGAATGATTATGGGTCTTCTTTAAGAGGCTTTGCAATGTTCCAGAGCTTGATGCAATCCATGTAATATCCTCCAAAAATAGAAGTATTTTGAGGACATCACCATCTGTAGAAAATCCCCTATCTCCTGGAAATTTTCCATGACAGTGGCAAAGGCCTTTGGCAGCTCACTTCTCTTTGTTTTCTGTCTCACTTGACATTTCAGAACCAAGTTGTCTGTTGTTACATATCTCAAGGATTCTTGAATAATTTTAATCTATTCATGGGAGATGCTTTCTTGGAAGAGAGCCTTTAGAGATTTATT